AGCATTCTAGAGCCTCGAACTCTGAAGACTAGCCAGAACCAGATGACCCCCTTGCACGGTGCAAAGGCAAGGAGAGTTCTGAGTGCTGGGATATCTCCAGATGCCGGGACCACTGGACTGAACTGGTCTGCAGGCTGGGTCTCATTTTCCATGGAGTCTCCCGCGAGTCCGTGAGTAGAGACCTGAGGACGCTCACTGCTGGTACCCCTGAAGCAGCATTGCCCGGAGTCACACGCAGAAACGCTGGCCCTGAAATGGCCCCATCTTGTTGGGTGAGAGGGGCCCTACTCTGTGAGTAAGTTAGGGGCTCAGAGACTTAACATTTACTTGTTCGGACTTCTACACGGCTCCCTAACGAAAAGGAACATTGTCCTTGAGCCATTTTTTTCCACCTGAAACAAGTAAATGGATCTTCCAAGATGCCTGACTAACACCCACAGCAGAACTGGGTATGTCCCAGTGGGTACTGATTGGAAGGAGAACTTTATTTTAAAGCAAGGGAACTTCGTAGACTGTAGGAAATAATTACCACTGTGGAAATACTTGTCTCCGGTAAGGTGGCTTAAGATACTTACAATCCCAAAGTTTGGTGTCCAGTTAATTCTCTAGCAAGCACTTCCTCGCATAGAGAGGTACGTATATTATAATAAATACATTGCTCTCTCTATAAAATATCTCTATGCTTATATATAAAAATGTTCATTTTTACAGACAAAGTACTGGTACATATCATATATATATATCACAACATAGGAATATATATGTAGCATATGTGTTTCCTTCAGGATAGGAATTCAAGCTCAGCAGCAGAGACCAGGTCTAATTTATCAAAGGCGAGCATGACAATGACCTCCAGTTGACGAGGCATCTACAGCTATAGTAGTAATTACCTCAGCCTACGCAGTGTCCCCTAAAGGTCCCGAGACAAGGCCTTCAAGAGAAACACTGTGGTCAAGGTCTTATTTTCAAATGGAAAAATAAGACAGTGCCAGAAGCTGGCAAGAGGCTGGGGGATGGGAAGATGAACGGAGGGGGGTTCCCTGCTCTGGGGGGTCTCCAGCCCCAGGCTACTCTGCAGACCATGTTGGATGAGAGAGTTGGGGCATGATGTCACTGCTACATGCAACATAAATACCAAAAGAAAAAAGGAAACTGAAACTGTACAGAAAATAAAAGAAGTATCTCTTCTAGAGAAAGACAGGGGGAACTGGACTCCGGGCTACTGGGAACCCGTTTTACTCACAATATATCACTACCAGTGTGCAGTTAAAATAGAGTAGGGGCCGTATTCCAAGGCAGCAAAGAGAAAAAAAATAAATCAAAAATATGTCAATGATTAGAAGTTCAAGAAAATTCCTTCAAACACATCAATTCAGACATGACTTGTCCCCTGGGAGTCCACCCTTTGGCAAACTTATACAGGCTGGGGGAAAAAATGTAAATCATTAGACCAGGTTTGTTATACAGAAGAAAAAAATGGGTAAATAGTAGATTCTGAGAGCTTGCTCCTTGGTCAGACAGCTGAATTTGACTCTCTTCCTTGATGGAATGCTATGAAGAAATGGAAAGAAATGCAAAAGTTAAACTATACTACCACAGGATTTCCGGAAATGGAATGTCCACACTCGATATTTCTCCAGATAGTATGGCATGAAATGTTCAGGGTGAATGGGGAGGTGGGGGTGGGGCTGGAAGGGGAAGAGCTAGGTTGGGAGGGGAGGGTTAGGAAGCTGCGGATAAAGACCAATGACTGTCATCAGCTCTGCCCTCATGGAGGTGTATCATTCTAGGGTGAATTATTAATACCTGGTCTAATGGGTTTGGACCAATGACTGTGTGGGTGAGCTGCCCTCTCCAGCTTAGGGCGCCAGGCAATATGCCCTCAAACGCACAGGAACCCCTGCAATTCATTATTCACAGTTCTAGCTCCTTATAATCAAAGTGTCTTTGCAACCAAAACCCATCTTCCCCAATTTCCTGACTTGCCTGGTATGCATGGGGATGTTCGTGTTTAATAATTCACTTTATTCTGACCACCCCTTACACATACACATCTGCATCCTGCCCTCTGTAACACAGGCTGCTATGGCCTTTTAATTAGGAAGAACAATATTTGGACAATTTTGATTGTTATCAAACATTAACCTCACAGCCGGAGGCCTCATTGAGATGAGAAGCCCAAGAGGGAAGGGGGTACAGAGAGACGGGGGCAAGACCCCTGTCACGCTGGCTCAGCTTTGGGATTCCGCGGCAATCCATGCCACGCATGGTGAGAGACCACACACTTCACTAGCTGAACCAGCTTTAAGGGGAATGAAGAGAATAAAATTATTTCAAACAATTATGTGCCTTTCCCTCCAGGATGAAGTTAAAGTCAACTGCTGTTTGCTTGTCTGGAACCAGGATGGAAAAATACCCTAGAGGCCAAATCCTCATTTCTAGGAACCTAAAAGCTTTCTGCTGAGTTCCACTGCAGTGCCTACGAGTAACATTCCACATCAGAGCGGGGGTCAGAGACACTTTCTCTCCCTCATTCTGCCTTCTACCGTTGCCTTCCTAGAGTCTGTTCTCTGTCCAGTCACCATGGAGGTCATCTAATACAGGAATTGAGGATGTTATGTCCTTGCTCAAATCTCCCAATAGCTGTATCAATTATAGGACTAAAACCCAGGTTTCTCATCATGGCCCCTGCCTTCCTCTCTGACCTCATTTCATTCCACTCTTTCCCCAGTCCCACCAGCCCCACTGGCCTTCCTTCCTTCCTTCCAACACTTCAAACTTATTCCTGCCTCTTGACCTTTGCCCTTGCTCTTCTACCAGCCTGGACAAGGTCTCAGCTTCAATGTCACCTTCCAAGGGAGGCCTTCCAGATCTTTCTGGCTAAAGCAGCATCCTGACAAGTTCCCCATACCCACAGGCAGTCTCCTCTCTCTTCATGGCATTTGACTCTATCTGCATTTAATAGTTTCTATGATGATTGTTTGTCTCCATTCACTAAAGTGAAGACTTCAGAAGAACAGCGATGTTATCTTGTTCACCCCTCCATCCCTGGCATCAAGAATCCACCTGGCACAAAGAAAGTACTCAGAAATATGTGGATGGCTAATCAGTAAGTGAATTTCTGTGGTACTCCATGGGAGCAGGTTCTTTGGCAGATATCGGGACATGGGTAATTGGCCTCGAAACTCCTGCATTTTCCACCCCCCTTCATTACGAGAGTTTCCTTACAAAGGAGTTGACCCTTTTGTATTTGTTACTCTCGTTTACTTCCACCTTGGGATACTATGTTCCTCTGATGGATATGATCTGGGGGATGCCTGGTCATCCGAGCTCTGTTTCCGTGTTCACAGCCAACTAAGCAGTGCTGGGGTGGACAGCCTCGTAAGGAGGGCCTTTCGTGTCAATGAGTCCAGGGGATTGGAGGTGGGTTTGTTCTGGGCCTTACACCCCCTTAGATGCTCCCCTTAGGTTGTCAGAATCAGAGAATTCTTAGATCTCAAGAGCTTAGCGTCTCTTTGACTGAGAGCTCAATAAATACTCACCTTAGTGAGGTGTCAGAGCTGGGGGGAACGGGGACATGTGTGTTGAGTCAGTGGAGAAAGCGTAACAACGGGCCTAAGCTGCCCCAAACTTGGGAACCAGCCGCCGAGGATTTCTACAGAAACTGCTCTGGACCAAGAGTGCTCCCATGGGTACTTGCCTAAGAGATCGAGTGTCTTTGTGCTCCAGCAGAGTGATATTTATATCTTACTGGTTTTATGTTACTGTGTCCCCCTTTAGGAATGCAGTGAAAAAAGCTCTTGTTTTGGTTGGCATATCCTAGGAATAGTGCTCTTCTATCTGGTTTCTGCTTTTATGGGGCGATCTTCCATAACTCTGTTTCTACTCTTCAGAACCACAATCATTGCCTTGCCCTTCTCTCTTGCAAAAATGATTAGAGCACTGAGTGCACAACATGGAAAGGCCTTTGGGTGAGCCTGAACCCCTGTCTGTTAGGTCTCTGTGACTCTTAGCCATCTCATCCTCCCACTAAACTTGGAGCCTTGGTTTCTTCTTTTTGTAAAATGGAATTAATAACATCCCCTGACAATTACCCAGGGTTACGGGGAGGATCAAACAAAATAATGATCATAAATAAGGAGCTCTGAAAATACTAAATCACCATAGGAAGGAAGGCATCATTATTGTTGTTTTCTTTAGTGTCATGAACAACTTCTATTAGGCAATGCAACATAATTACTCTCGAGGCACGCCCACTTTAAGTCCTGGTTTCTCGGGAGCTCACGATCCAAAGTTCCTGACTTACCATATCTTTCTCAAGAGGTCCCATTAGCAAGCTGCTTTGGAAGAGATTTGAGACAGGATATACCAGAAGCTACTGAGCCCGATCTAGTCTACCCCAAGGAGCAAAGGTGTTTGAGGTTGGTTATTGGAGCAATGGCAAATAAAGCTGATTGGTGATGGCCATGTTCTCTTCCTGGGCCAGTCTGAGGGTACTACAAGGGAAAGCTCTGGATCTTGGTATCAAACCTTGCAGCAGTCCCAAATGGAAAGAGAGTCAGCTCCCATTTGGGAGACAGCGCCCTCGGACTCAGTTTCCCTTTCAGCCCTAGTACAGCCATCTTCACACTTGGTGGTCCCGTATCCACTGGAAATCACTTTGCAAAAATACTCCCTCCTCCATGGTCTTAGCTGTCCTCCTTTTCATGCACCGTACTGCCTATGTTCAAGTGGACACAACCACCTTGGCATCCCTTCAGGGTCCGGAGGTGGGGATTAGGCACTAGGTTCACTCAAAGGTGCTGATGGTGGGGATTTTTCACCCTCCGCTCTAATAAAGCAAGGACAGGCATTTTTTCATGTCTCTTTAAACTGCTGGGTGAAACATAAACATAGTCAAGAAACCTCTTGATGTTTAGTGTTTCTTTAATAGGAAAAGGAGAAGGGAAACGAGTTTGGGGAAAGGAAAAGGGGGGGAGGGGGAAAGAAACACTACTTACGCCGTTTGCAGCCGCATTTTTTTATTCTTTTGGGATCTGTGATGTCATCATGACAGGCCTTGCAGTAAAAAAATGCCCTGGAGAAAGAGAATGGAAAAACTGACACGCTTCATAATCCACCCGAATGAAACAAGCACCACATTTCCTCCACCGTGGTGCCAAATTAATGAAACACGCCAACACTCATTTCCTTTCATCTTTTGAAAGGTTTAGACGTTTACAGACGGGAATGTTTGTTGCAAGACCTTTTATTTCAAACCCAGGATTCTGCAAATTGAGTTAGTGCTTCTTTTAATATACTTTCCTTTGAAGAGGAACTGGGGGAATGGCTGCTGATGGGACACCCTGGGTCTGCTGGCTTGTCTTTCGTCTTTGAGCACGGCATTCAGTGCCGCTCATCAGAACACGCCGGCAACCAGCCCCGGGCCCTTGGTGGGGAAGTTGAATCCATCTCCGAAACCCTTGCCGTCTGGTCAGATATTTATCAAAGGGGCCCCAAGGATAAAGTTCCACTGTCAAATAAAAACACTAGCCTTGTCACTCGGAAAGCCCATTTCTTTTCAAAATGAGAGAGGTTAAGAGGAAGGTGGACAGGGAAAGACAAAAGTGGTGAGTCAAAGGGGTCCTCTGTCAGATGTTGGCGGGGATGTGGAGAAAGGGGAAGCCTCCTACACTGTTGGTGGGAATGCAAGCTGGTGCAGCCACTCTGGAAAACAGTATGGAGGTTCCTCAAAAAGTTGAAAATAGAGCTACCATATGATCCAGCAATTGCACTACTGGGTATTTACCCCAAAGATACAAAAGTAGGGATCCGAAAGGGTACGTGCACCCTGATGTTTATAGCAGCAATGTCCACAATAGCCAAACTGTGGAAAGAGCCAAGATGTCCATTGATAGATGAATGGATAAAGAAGATGTGGTATATATATACAATGGAATATTATGCAGCCATCAAAAGGAATGAGATCTTGCCTTTTGCAACAACGTGGATGGAACTGGAGGGCATTATGCTGAGCGAAATAAGTCAAACAGAGAAAGACATGTATCATATGACCTCACTGATATGAGGAATTCTTAATCTCAGGAAACAAACTGAGGGTTGCTGGAGTGGGGGGTGGGGTGACTGGGTGATAGACACTGGGGAGGGTATGTGCTCTGGTAAGCGCTGTGAATTGTGCAAGACTGTTGAACCTCAGATCTGTACCTCTGAAAAATATAATGCAATATATGTTAAGGAAAAAAAAAGAAAGAAGAAGATAGCAGGAGGGGAAGAATGAAGGGGGGAAATCGGAGGGGTAGACGAACTATGAGAGATGATGGACTCTGAAAAACAAACTGAGGGTTCTAGAGGGGAGGGGAGGATGGGTTAGCCTGGTGATAAGTATTGAGGAGGGCACGTTCTGCATGGAGCACTGGGTGTTATGCACAAACAATGAATCATGGAACACTACATCTAAATCTAATGATGTAATGTACGGGGATTAACATAACAATAAAAAATATGGTCAAAGGGGTCCTGTCAAATTTCTTCTGGCGTTTTTCATAGCCCATAGTTGCTCCCAAACTAGAAGGACCAACTCCCATACTCTCCAGCCTCGAGATCATGTAATAAATGGAGGTTTTCTTCTCATGGTAAAAGCACAGCTCAGCTGAGCTCTGCAACAGGGTGGGCAGAGGGCACTCTAGGGTTGGGTACCCAGTGGAAGCAACCAATAAGAAAACCCCTCGACTGACCTCAAGTGTCAAGCTGTGATTACCAAGCACATTGGCTGTGTCAAAGATACTCTGGATGAGACAAAACAAGATCATTCAAGCACAGAATGCATAGGACCTAGAAGAACAGCACTGGAGGCCTATATCCTTTCAGCACAGGAGATTACTGGGAAAAAATTCACTGGAACAACCTTACAAGCTCTGGATATGGGGACTAACAAAATCCTTGGCTTCACCACTCCCAACATGAAATTGAACGCCAGGGATAAACGTGATCTTGCCTTGACCAAGACTACAAAGAAAGAAACACAACTCTTGACCATTCTATTCCTAGATTCCTTTTAATGTTTTCACAGGATTTGCACATGTGATTGGCTCCAGGTGGAAAGCAATGTTAAGACTTTGGGATCTGGAAGAGATCATGGAGGTTCCCAGGACTCAGTGTCCTTATCTGTAAATTGAGGAGGTTGTCAACAACCTGCCAAAAGTCATCCTGTGCTGGGCTTGGCTGGGCCCAGGACTTCTAAATCCAAGCCCAATGCTCTTTGTGCCCTAACAGCTCATTCACTATTTCTTTAAATGCTAGTGTTCATCCGTCTTGAAAGAAAGAAAAAGAAAGAAAGAAAAGGAAGGAAGGAAGGAAGCTGATTGTTTGCCCTGAGTAGCAATGTGGCTAAGAAAGGGGAAGGACAGGAATGGAGGAAGCCATTTTGTTTCCACTTCCTTTGGCCATTTTCTCCCCCACCTGATGCTCCTACAGATAATAATAATGACAACAATAACAGGGAACATTTATAGAGCACAGACTATAGGCCAGGTGCTATTCTAAGCACTTTATAAGTATTAATGAATTTGATTCTCAAACAACCCTTTGAGGGAGTAATGATTATCTCTGTTTTACAGATAAGGAAACTGAAGCACAGGGAGGTTACATGACCTGCCCATGGTCATGCAGAGCCAGGATTCAAGTCCACACAGCCTAGTCCCAAAGCTCAAGGTCTTAAAGAAATCTCTAATAAAGAGATGATGAAACAGTGATGAGTCTGAGTAGACTGTCGAGAAGATCAAGTGGATTACTTCATGAATTAAAGCTAGATTCTGAAAATAAAGGTAAAGATAATGAGTGAGATGGGGCCAGGGAGCGGGGGTGGGAGTGGGGTCTCTGGTCTGCAGTCCTGGAGACACATTTCCCACCCAGAGGGAGCACAGTATCTAAGTTTTGCCAGCTGAGTTTTGCCAAGTGGCACTTCTTCGCAAGCATCATGCTCTTCCCCACCCATCTCTGCCTCTCTCATGCCCACCTGGCAAAGCCCCCACCTTATCGCACACCTGCACCTGAGCAGCTGAGCTCAGGAAAGGAAACACAACCGTGCTGACTGATCTCACTTCAAATCCATGGCCATAGATTCCAGAGGACTTTTCACACCCCTCAGGCCTACTGCATATCCCCTCCTTCCACCTCAACCCTCTCTGCTCTCCTCCCCACTTCCTCTCCTGTTCACCCCACCCCTTCATCAAGTGGCCCTCAGCTGGTGAACTTGAAACATGCATCACCAAGAAGACCCGATCCATACCCCAGAAAGCCGGTCTTTAGGGTGTCTTTGTCCTCTGGTTTCCTGTTGTGTCCAGCCAATCAGAGGAGCCAGCAGGAGACTGGAGGATGGGAAGGGAGAGTTCCTCCCTGCTGGGTCATGAATTGGTGGTGGCCCCCTCTGCACACTACAGAGCACCCACCTCCTGCCAGGCAGCCTTTCCTACACTACAACCTCTCTCTTCAGGTTCTGATAGCTCTCCTTCCCCTTGACGCTGTAGATTCAGGGCTGAGAATGGCTCCACTCTGTTTCTAGCTCTGAGGTGCTTTGCCATCCCTTGTTGGTTTTCCTTAACTCTCTGCCCACAACTTTATATGGTCCTTTCATAAAACTCTCCTCTCTTTTCTCATTTAGGTGTATCATCTGTTTCTGGCCAAGACCCTCCCTGATACAGCTCCCAAACTGACACCTCCAGCCCCCATCTTTCCCCCCAGACTCCAGAATCTTAGATCTGCCTTTATGACTACTCTATGTGCATGTTTTGTACATATCTCCTACTTAACATAGCCAAACAGAATTCTTAATTTCCTACACCCCAAACTTGCTCTTCTTCCAGCTTTCCCCATCTCAGTAAGGTGGGGAGCCAACAACCACCCAATTACATAAGCTCCAAATCTAGGCTCCATTCTTGATTCCTCTTTTTTCCCCCTCACTTCTTATATGCAGTCCACCAGTGGGCCCTATAGACTCTCTAGTAAAATATATTCTGAATCAGTCTTCTTTGTCTGCACCTCCACTCACCAGCCTAGCCCACGTTATTCTCCCTCGCCTACACTATGCAGTCTCCCTGTCTCTGGGCCCCCTTCTCCTGTGGCAGTACATCTCATTCTTTATAATGGAAGGGAAAGACCTTTCAATAATGTAAATCAGACTATATCACCCCCAGCTTAAAACCATCAATGACTCCATTTTATAACAACCCAACCCCTGTATCAAGTCCTATGAGAGCCAGCCCTGCCTTTCTCTCTTACCTCATCTCCCCACACTACTCCATCAGACACTTTCCTTCCCTTGGCTCCCTGCACACAACACTGTCCCCACCTGTCTCCTCTTCCCCTCCAATCTTTGTATGACAGACTCTTTCCCATCACCTCCATCTGTGCTCAAATGTGGCTCCTTCAGAGCAGCCCTCACACACAATCTAAATCAGTGCCCCAGTTGCATTAATTCTTTGATTAATGTACCATAAATAAACAAAACTGCAATTCTCTCCTCCCTAGAACATGAGCCCCTGAGAGCAAGGACTTCGTTGTTCACCACTGCTTCCCTGGCACCCGGTACGGAGTGTTCTCTAAAGTGAGTGACCTGCAGACATTTGATGGATGAATGAGTGTGAGAATGCTGCCCAGTAATGTTAGATCTGCCAAGTTTTTCAAGAGAAACCAGGAATAGGGATTTTTAGATAAAAGTTGATGATGTCTTCCTCTTGGCAACTCATTTATTTGTTAAAATTGTGAATCAAATAAATCCTGTCTGCAAGCCAAACTGAGTCAATGGGGTACCATTTTGTGATTCCTACATCACAGACTATGGGCCAAGGTCATTTGAAAAGGAAAATATTTAGTGGCAAGGAATAGGGGACAAGTGATCAAAAGTTCATCCCGAAGTGACCTTTCTAAGACTGGAACGGATGGTTTCACTCCTCTTTTCCTCTGCATCTGAAAGTTTCTGTGAGCTAAAATCCATTAGCTTCTTTGGTTGCTTGTTTGTAGGAGAGGGTACAAACTCAATCCTGGATCATCATAATCAACTTTTCCATTTTTACAAAACTTGTTTAGTTTCATTCAAATCACCAAGGCCCTTTCTGTGGTTTTCTGCAGTCTTCATCTATTTGAAATCCCCTAACTGACAGCGGTTGCTCAGACACATCACACGCTATGGAAAATTACAGGCTTGTGTTGTAGCTGATTTGTGTCAGCATGTATTTGTGAATACCATAAAGCACTGAAATGAGACATATTGCACTCCCTAATACAGGAGGTAATTTGTTTTTTGGACCGCCTGGTATTTGCGACATTCATTAGTGAGAGATGCAATAGGAAATAGAATTACACAAATGGGAGCTCCGTGTTATATTTGCTATCTGGGAGGTACACGTGATCTACGGCGCCGCTGTGCTCCCCAGCACGCCCCCCTCCCCCACCCCCATACATGGTGTTGAGATGCTGCTTGTGTGTCTCGCAGTCTGGATGTGAGTATAACCTTCTATTCCAGGGGACCTGGGTGGGGGGGCTTCAGTCCCATTCACCCCCACTTTCTGCTCAGGTGAACCCAGTTCTCAAGGTACTCCCGAAGAACAGGCAGGATCCATGAACTGGATTAGAAGGTTTTCCTGTCCCCATCTGAATAATGGCAGTTCTTTCCCAATTTGTAGAAGTAAACTTAAGCCATTAGCTCAGTTGAAAGAATTTTTCTTTTTTGTTGTTTTTTTGTTTTTGTTTTTCTGTGGTTTTTTTTTTTGCTTCTCCACCAACTTTTTTCCCCCCTAAAAGCTTTTATAACTAGTATGGCTAGTTTGCAAGAGTGGATAAAGAGGAAAAAAGTAATAGGCATCAGCTGTCAAATATCCTAGTTCTGTGCTCAGCTCATCAGGCTCACCTCTTGGCAAAGAATTAAGAAGGTAAGCTCTGGCACTGGACTTCCTGGTTTTCGATCCTGGCTTTACTACTCCTTAGCAGTGGGGCTTTGGGCAAGTTAGTTCACCAATCTGCACCTCAGTCTTTTCATGTGGAAAATGAAAACAGTAAGGCTACCTATCTCACAAGGTTGTTGAGAGGATGGCGTGAGTTCATGGCACCTGGTACTTAGAGCAGGGCTGGCACCTATTAAACTCTACATAAGAATTTGCTAGTATTGGGTGCCTGGGTGGCTCAGTTGGTTGAGCGACTGCCTTCAGCTCAGGTCATGATCCTGGAGTCCCAGGATCGAGTCCCACATCGGGCTCCCTGCTCGGCAGGGAGTCTGCTTCTCCCTCTGACCCTCCCCCCTCTCATGTGCTCTCTGTCTCTAATAAATAAATAAAATCTTTAAAAAAAAAAAAAAAGAATTTGCTAGTATTATTTAATTTCGTAGAAAGTGTGGGTTTGGGAAAAAGGAAAGACCATTTCCAATCCGGGCTGTGCCACTTGCTTATGTGCTAACCTTGGACAAATCATTTATCTCAACCTTACAGATGAGGAAACCAAAGCCCCAAGGGTTTTAGAAGAGTCACTTTATGAGGTTATTCTGAGGACTGGCAATAACGAACACAGAACCCTTACTTAGCACAGGCCTGGCCTTGAGTGGAAACTCATTACATGAAAACAATAGGCTTCCAAAAATAATTATAGACCTTTCACAATTAATCATTTATTTGAAATATTCTAAGTAACCTCATTGTTAAAGTCGGACTGCTGAGCCGCATTTTCTGCTAATAGGTTTTTCAGAGTTCATAGCATAGACTCAATATAACAATATTCCATGGTGTTCTCCAAAGAGCCCTATGATTCCTAGGCTGCTTAAACAGGTTTAAGGATACTAATAAAAGTGTCGTAAAATATTGAGGTCAATGAAATCCTGGGCTGTACCTACAGGGGCTTAAGAATTGAATCTGACAACTTCAACTACTTACCTAGAAGGCCACAAATAGAAATATAGCTAACAGAATATTTCATCTGAAATTAATCCAAACCTTTTGAGATTCCATTTGGCACTTAGATTAGAAAGCTGATAATACTCGAGTAAATCTGCCTGGATATTAGGTCAAAAGTACTAGACAAGGAACCAGTTGTCCTGTGTTATGTTGTTCTCAGTCATCAAGAATCAGGTTGACCCTGAACAATTGCTTCAGTTCTCTGGGACTCAGTTTCCTCCCTTGGAAAATGAAGGAGCAGTTAACTAGGCCCTCCTAGTTCTAAAATACTGTTACTCTAATTCAAAGATGTGGAATCAACTATGTGAAGAGGAGTTCATGGAAGCATTTGAAAGACTAGTCTCTTTTTCCCAAGACTTGGCACCATTGATACCCATGGACATGTTAAGAACTTTTGGGGTTAGGGCCCTATACATATGGAAAGCATGCCCATTATGGTGGATCAAGATGTCTATGGCTGGGCCAGAAAGGAAGGCAGATAAATATGAACTCTTACCTTTTAACTTCTTTGGCATCACTTGCGATGAAAAATCCTAAAGTACCTTCTTGGATCTTAAGATGGTTTCCAGGATTAATTAATATACTGCTCAGTGAACAAAAACAAACAAAGAAGACACATTTGTGAGGTCATGTTCTGAATAAAACCTTGAAGGCTACACTATACTGTTAATTTTATAGGGGGCCCACTAGTCTAATGCTTTTCCCAAAGGTGTTGTGTAGAGCTTGATGTCCACAGTCCCAGACATTTAAGTGGATAAGGCCATCATAAAGCTCTGCTGCTCAGTTCCCAGGTTGGCATACTCCCAGTTGCAGAAATCAAAGCACATCTAGGTTTCAGGGTTGGGGGTATATAATGGGGTAGCCATCATGGGCTTCTGATATGATATGTAGCCCTTTGGAAACTTGTGTTAATGGTCAACATTGAATGTGATTGGTCTAATAAAGCTACTGCTATAACAATTTTCTGTTAGATGACAGAGCATTAATGGGACCCCTATGTGCATCCAGAAACATACACATATACACGTATTACTGCAGGGAATGGTACATGACAACTGTAACCAATGCAGAAGCAAACATTACATCTGCACGACGTTGGTAAAGACATGTAAGTGGACTCTGCGTGCAGCCTATGTAGAACAAATTGGATCTACCCAAACAGTGAAAAAGAAAAATGCCAGCAGTTGGAAATGATTCCAGTCTGCTTTTACCAAAATGCAAGGGAGTGTTTGAATGAAGTGTGTGTCTGGTACCTCCTGATTGGGGCAAACTGTAATTATAAAACAAATGCAAATCATCCCTAAAAACAAACAAACAAACAAAAACCTTCCCCTTGCAGGGAAGTATGGAACTAAATATACACTGTCCTATTTCAAAGTGTTATAAGTAGATTAGCTGACCAAGTTGTGCTTGGACTGACAAAAGAGATACATGTATCCTAATCTAATAAATGGGTGAAACAAACAAGTTTAATTTTCTGCAGATCAAGAACAGAATGCAGGAATGTATGATAAAGAGACTGAAAGGCTTTGGGCTTAATGGACAGGGAATTGGGGTACTGTGAATGCAGGAATAGATACAACAAAGGTATTCTCTGATCTGAAAAGCCAACTTCAAGGTAATAGATGTTTGGAAGCAGGCTAAAGGAAGTCCTCAACTATCTAAGACAATCAAAATGGAGGATGGTAATTAACATGTAATTTTTTACTGCTGGCAAAACCGCTCTGGGAAAGTGCTGTGGCCAACAGAGTCATGCGTCTGCAGCAACACAGGGAGGACCCAGGTGAGCTTTTGCTCTGCCAGGAGGACTCAGAGTGGAGCATTATGGCAAAATAATTGTTTGTGGTCTCAAGAACATCCACTATTACCCATAACGAGACCTGACAGAAGGAAACCGATCCTGTGTCATCACTGTTATTAACACTAAATAATAGGCAGGGACCATGATGATTGGTCTGTTCTGCCCTAGAACCACAGGCTACAATGAGATTCTTCACAAATCAGGAAGCAGCAGACCACACTAATAGCAACAGCTTGCAATGAGCAGTGGCACTGGACGGGCACCTCCTAATTACCCCCCTGCCAATTCTTTACGTTGGTTTAACAGCCCTCTGACTTCTCACGATCACGAGGGGAAAGGGTCAGAGCTTAGACAGCTTAGATGGACTCCTTTTTCAAAGCCAATTAAATGTGATGTTGCAAAAGGGCAGAATGCTGGATTTTGCACACTTTCTTACCCCCTTTGCTGTAAGGCGTACTTGTATGCCCTGGCTCTGTGATCAGAAATTGCACCCAAATTTCAGCATCACCATTTAGTAGCTGTCTGGCTTTTGGGCAAATTACTAAATCTCCCTCAAACTCAATATCCTCATCTACAATGAGGATGATAATCATAGTCTTTCTTCAGAGGATTAAGCAAGATGATGCACTGAAGGCTCAATGCATATTGGTTATTGTTACTCTTATTATTTATTACTGCAAGAAAAAAAAAGACAAAAGTGTATTTCGTTTTCAATGGAATTACCAGATTTTCTTTAGCTGGCCCCATGGAATGGAACACAGGGCTCCTTATCAAAATATCCTGTTCAAAATGAGATGAAGTTACAGGGTAAAGAACCGTACATTCCAGAATAGTGTACAAGGACATACATGAAAAATTCTGGGTATGTATGGTGTCTAAAGAAGCTAATTTCTGAAAGCTGGGAAAATCTACATTTTGATATGTATTTATATAAGAGCGTAAAAAAAGCTTCTGAGTGAAAAAAATCCTATCGTGATTTCAACGATGCAATTCAAAAGGGGAAATTTGACACTCATCAATGTCTTGGTGACATATATGTGCAAAACAAGCCTTGCACAGAATCCTTTTTTACATTATATGCTTCATTAATTGCACTCCAGTGATCAAGCCCACTGTGTCACGGGAGGACGACAGTGATAGCAAGCTTCCTATCAATGAGAAGTTTCTTTTCATTTCCTCTGTTCTTTATCAACAGTGAACAAGAATTGGCTTACAATGAGAATTGGGATTGTCATCCCAGAGACTGCAGTTGAGATCATTTATTACAGCCTGCAAGCCTGCTTTAGTCAAGGTAGTGTGGTGGCGAGGAAAGATCTGGGGCACTGATGGAAGGCAGATTTGTGTTCAAATCTGGTTAAGCGCTGGTTAAGCGAGCAGGTGTATGTGTCAGGCCTAGGAGTTCAGACCCTGGCCTGAGGCAAGTGGATGCCACTCAGCCTCATTCTCCTCCTCTGTGAAATGGAGTGAATAATCTCTAGCCTATGGTGTTACTAAGAGAATTAAAGTACGTGCCATGTGCTAAGTGACTGCCACATAGTAGGTCCTTAATGCATGCTCACTATTAATAGTAAGCATGGTTATTAAAACAACTAAATGAGAAGCAAACAATCTCTCACGTGGTCTCAGCTCCCCATTTTGTCCTTGGTGCTAATAAATTACCAGGAGGCCCCCTATTGGCATTTGAAAGACCTTTTTACTGACTGCAGTATCCAAAACATTACATCCCTCTATAACATCTGAAGATGGGCTAATTTGGACTGGCTTTTTCCTACAGAGTGGAGTGTCTATCTGTTCCTCAAACCTTATGCACTTCCAAGACATCACTGCCCGTGTGATTCCAGGGTGCCTTCTGGTTCTCTTTTGGAGAGGGCTTAAGGAGGGGTAGGAAGCTTTAAATCATCTCTTTACATGATGTGTGAGGCTGTAGGCTCACATTAGCAGCTATCCAGATCAGGGGAAGGCAGCCTTTTGGGTGGGAATTGAAAGAACCAGCCCAGATCTTGAGAATAATGAAGGAAAGAAATCTAGATACATAAGAATCTTCACTGTGCTGGATTCCACTCATATATTTAAGGGTTTGGTTAGAGAAACATGTGCCCCTGATTCCAGAGCCCACTGCCTATAATACTCCCTATGTCAGGGTACAAGGTTTCAAAGACTCTTTGAGGAAATGTGTTACTCTCTCCAATACTGTAGACATTGTCTTCTATACACACGCCAAATCTAGAAAATTTAAATAAAACATTAATCCTCCTCTTTTTGAAAATATAAAAGACATAAGGATCCTAGACAGAAGTAATTTTTTTCCCAGCAAAGTGCCTACTACCCTCAGAATGGGTTATTGACCTCCTACTGGGAATATGTAAATCTTTCCAATGGTCTTTGCTCTCTTGAAAGAATATCCAACATTAAGTTTGTTTTGCTCTTATGACTGCCAGAAGTCTCCCTCCCTGGGCATCATGTTAAATCAGTCCTTGGTTCCAATTTTGCCTAATTCACTAGCTTACCAGAGAGATAAACTTCAAGATGTGTCATGTGAAGAATCAAGAGAATCTCTAAGAAAAAGTCCATATATCAATTAGCAGAATTCCAATAGAGACATCTTGGCAAAGATGGACTTTCCCTCATCTCAAGGAACATATAAATTATCCTCTTTCTTCTATGACCTTGCAAATTTCAACAGAAAACATTCAGTGGCAGCTGGAGGCAAAGGGCTTATGTAGCTCCTTCCCGGAGAATTCTTGCTCTCTCTTTTTCTTTGGCTCTCAGACTACTTTTTTATCTAGACTGATTCTTTGGCTTTTTGCCCACTATAAGGAAACAAATACATATTTTCTGTGGGGAACGCATAGTTGAAAAAGAGGAATGAAAAGCATGATCATATTTTATTTATTTTTGTAAATAAGTTTCTCATAGTAGCCAGCTTAGAGCCCTGTATGCAATAGGCACTTTTCAACTACTTGTGGAATGAATGAAAAATATAAATCACTGGTCTCAGCTCCAAAAGTGTTCCTTTCCCTCTCCAGTAAGGAGAAAGGTAGCCACAACTGTTCTTTCGAAAACTGAGTAGCAATTCTTACCAGTCAGGACTACTAAAGGAGCCACCACACCTTTTCTAGGGGGTTGGCAAGTGAGCTAACAATCTCCCAGATGCACTAAGTACAAAAATGTAAATATACAAATACATAAACAGCTAGCCACTTGCGGAGTAGGAGCAATTGATTTCAATATTGAAAGCACCACTCACTTAGAGTTGAAATAGGTTTCCAAACTAAAACACCAGAACATAGAACTGGCTAGCAGGGCTCAGTTCAATAGAGAAATGTCCCTGTCAGGTTCCTCTGGGAGGGGAGGTCCAGGCCTCAAGCTACAATGCATTTCATTGTGTATGTCTTGCTGAACTTTAGTCAAGTTGGAGATTTGGGGCTTGACGGGGCAAAATGATTTATTCCTTTTCTCAACCACTTATGCGTAACAACTAGGAAACATCTACTTATTCCTTCTTCAATCATCATAAACTTTACTTGTTTGCTGTTTTTGGAGACAACCAATGATGAATAGTTCAACTGAACCATATTTTTTAAAGGAATCCTTTATCCATTATGGGTAGATATGATGGGTGTGTATTTCTCCTCCCCCCCCCTCAATTTTTGGTAGGTGTAATGTACCATTCCCCGAACAATTACAAAATTATCAGTCACATGAGAATAGAGTTTTTACTTGATAACATGATAATTATATCTGTGTCTAGCAAGCTAATGGGACTTCATTAACTAGAGCAAGGGAATAAGAACCACCTGAGATTTCAGTTCACGCCGTGCCCAGATGAATCACGCCACTGGGGAGTGGCCTCTTTGACCACCCATGGTCATATATGATTGCTATTGGGAGGGACTTTGAGCCAATTGTCTCCCCTCTCAGGAGCACAACTGCCCTGTGGTTTATGGGCTGTGTGAGGGCACAGCCTACAGAAACCCCAAATCTCAAATCTAATTGCCTTTCTGGAACTTTTCAATTTTTTCTAGGCTTTCAAATGTATGCTGCTGGAGTCCCACACAACTAGACACACACACTTTTACTTAGAGAATATATGTAGGAGACACAGTGTGTATTCCATGCTTCAATATACTTGAACCCAGTTCGCTCACGCAGAGACAGCATAGTAAAGATTGCTCCCAGTTGGTCAGACTCAAATGCCTGCCACTGCGGTCCGCCAATGACATGGGCAAGGAACTGTTTTGCCTGAACCCATCACAATGGGTTTAGAACTGGCATTTAAAAATATATTTGACACATAAAGAAAACAGTAGCCATAGGGGATGGGGAAGAGATGGCTCATTTGGGAAGGACAATGGCGGCTATTTGGCTCTGGGAGCAAGCCATGTCACTGTGTGATACACTTTATGACAAGTCATGCTACATCACAACATGCCTCCATCACAAGATAAAAGGACTCAAAGGCCAAAAGTCAACAGCAGAGGTGCAACCACTGTGGACCTTTGAAGATGCGAAGTGTTGCAGTAACTTCTTGCAGTTGGATCATATCAATAATACCAAACTGACAGGAAGCCACCTCTAATGTCATACATCTAGTCCAAAAATCACAGAAGAAATCGGACTTTGGAAAGAGTTCCAGACAAATACCCTCACCTCACACACACACACACACACACACACACACACACACACACACACACACAATTACAAACACGAACACGTGACAGTGATTCCAACCACGGAGAGAAACAACTCTTGAGAAGATGAACACAAAGGCATCTCCATAGTATGTTTTCAACAGTATTGTTTTAGAGAACACGTTATTGAAAAACTACACTGGAAATATTAACCGAAAAAGTTAAAAGAAAATGCTGTCGATGAGGATTTGGTCATGCTTCATGCAACAGAAATCAGAGCAAAACAGGGTGATGTCACATGGTGAAAGCGGAGAAACTTCACAGTAAGAAATGTGCCCAAACACAGGAGGGAAAAAACAAAGCCATGAGTCCATCTCAATAAACGGTACTCATTCACTAAACCAAATGTGATGATCGGGCGATTTGGTAGCAGGTGTTCTAAGTCTGTACAGAGTCCTGCCCAAGAAATAAGAGATGCAAAATGTTATCATCAAAATAAGTGTAAGGGAAAAAAAAGCTGAGTGTTAGTTGAGCTTGGTCTCTGTTTTGTGGATAAAAGGACACGAATCCTGCTCTATCAACGGGAAACCGAACATGGGGAGGAGGAAGTCACTGGGAATGTGGATGTGGTATGCAGACAGATGGCACCACAGAGCCTGGTGGACACCGAGACACATCAGGACAGGACAGAAACAGACACCAGGGGCTGGAGAGGAGCATCCTCCTTCTCAACACTGATGGCTCTGGTTCCCATCATCGGTGCCATGACGGAACACAGGGATTGTACCTGTTGGGTTTTTAGGTCTCCTGCAAAGAAGTTAGTGCGTCATCCAAAAGAATCAACCAACTGAACAAGAAAAGCAATATGCTACTTTCAATTTCTCTGTGCTCTAGTTGGAGAGGGGTTTAACTATAAATAAATAAATATATATATGTGTATATATATATATATATATATAGACAAGGGAATGAGATTATATGTATGTGTATACATATATATAATCTCTATCTTCCTGAATTCTTGGCAAATGGTTAGTCCTGTGGTTAGCAGTGAAGATAGCGGGTGGGGGTTGGGAGGAAGGTTAACGAAGAGCGCATACCGCTTTCGGCTTCTGCAAAACGACAAGAAAAGAATTTAAAATCAAACAATTTGATAATAAATTGACTGACACCAGAAGGAAAGAAGGAACAAAACCTTTGTTTCAAATTATTTGAAGGATGCATGTGAAAACAAGGTTTTTCAGCAGAGCATGGAAAAACAGCGTCATGGGGTAAAACAACAGAGGAGGTAGTTCAACACAGGCTGGGGGCAAGGGGTTGGGAAAGGAGAGGCTGGGTTCTCCGAATCCTAACACCCAGCCACTTAGAAAATGGGAGAGGGAAGGAAATGGGAAATTCTTTAATGAAGGGAAAAAAAAATCAAAATTCTTATCTTGGGAAGGGTCAAAAACTCAATTTTTTTTTAGTATGGATATTGTGTTTGAGAAGTTTGGTGTTTTCTCAGAGGCATGATCCACATTCCCTCCAACACACCTTTTTCCACAAGAACCAATGTGCTTCCACACTGAGACCAAGCCACATGAGGGGATTAAAGTCGGTAACGGCACACAGAAAGCCAAAAACAAAGCCAAACAAGTCCTTTCCGCTCTTTTCTGAAAGGAAAAAAAAATCTAAAAATCTGTATCTACAAATATGGCTTTGTTGAAAACATCTCAGATTTGTGAGTTAGTTGGAGGGTCCATCAAAGAAAAGACTTTGTCTTCAGGGAAGGCTCTTAGTTATTTTTCTTAGAATAGTGACAGCAGATTCACACTGAACCATTAACAGGCTTTTTCTCTCCCTCCCTGTGACCAAAAGGTGGCAGGTGGGAGATGACTGGTCAAGGTTCAGGGGGCAGACTCCTGCCATGAAATTATACCAGGGTGGTCAAGAGGCGCTATATGGCATTAACGCCATCCACACCATGAGACTTTCTGAAAGATGCACAAAAGGGATAAAGAGAGAAGACTGAATTACACAGATTTACTGATGTGGCAACATGAAGAATATCACTGGCAAAAACCCAGGATACATGTTGCCCCCTCCACAGGCAAAGGTGACTACTGGCCACCACATGGGAAAGCAGTAATCCCAGAAACCCCCACTTTCTCTGTTGAACAGCAAAGAGCCAGGACTCCGGCTCCCATTTTTTTGCACATAATATTCTTCACTTTGCCAACACAAAAAAGAAAACCTTATCTATACATAATTATTAACTGCTACGGCCATGTTTTACACGTGGCCACCAAATCTACCATTTTTATTTCCTCTTGGTTGATTTGGGTTTTCCAAATAGCTTAGCCTTTGATCAGATCGACTTTGTGAGCAATCTGATCTGGTGGTTAAGGTAACAGAGAACATTGGATTGACTTGCTCACAATCCAGTGTCTTCTCGTTTTGTTTGGTTTGGTTTGGTTTGGTTTTCGTTTGGTTTTGTTTGTCAGAGACGCAGACTGTATGTTTGGAAGTCTGGCTTCATTGAGTTATTCATCCAAATAATGAAAACTCCTTAGATGGTGATAGCAGGCACCTTCTAGTCTTGCCCTGCACTCAACATATTAAGGCACATGTTGGAGAGGATCTGTACTCCACACTATGCCACTGGAAGACTTATTTACTATAGCTAGGAACAAACCCGGATGTCATCTTAGAGGACAAAAGCCCACGTAGTTCTCAATGAGCTCTTTCTTCCAAACCCATTGATAAAAATTGGGGAGCAAAAAAATCGTCTTTATTTTATCTGTAATGCATACAGTCCTGCATCAGCAAACTCCCCTGTTAATGGGATGCTTCCTTCTTCCAGTGTGAACTCATATATTGACTGGGCTGTTTTCTATTTCAACCAGACCCAGGCCCTCATCAGCCTGATCTGTACATAATTAAGTGCAAAATAAATAAATAAAGAGGGCTCCTGCCTCTGAGCCCTGCTCTCCTGGCTAATTTACATGAAGCTGATATTCTGCCACCTGGATTTCGGTTGCAACGGGAAAAGCACATATGGTACACAATAGGCTGCTTGTAATTTGGCTATCAAGAGAGCTGGTGTGTCCCATTACAGCCCTGCCCCATCCCTGCTGTGAAGGAGGCCAGAATCCACCTGCTTCGTGCTCACGACAGTAAACAGGGGTTTGAGGACAGGGCTTGTCCCTGGTTTTGTGCAGAGAGGGCGAAAAGTGTAAGTTGGCCCAATCAGGTGGAGATCTGGATGTCTCATCACTGTCCTCTGGAGAAACACTTTCTGAATGCCCAGTGGGGCTTGGGATGGCAGGTGGGTCTGCGATAGAAGTGGCGGTTGGGCATGCCCTGAGATGTGCCCAAGGGTCAGAGATGTGTCACATCAGGGGTCCAACCACGTCAATAATGTGTAAGAAAGAAGCGGGTGGACCGAGCGCTCCGAAAGCACTCTCACCATCTCATAAATGTCAGCCGGCCACTGGGCTGTGGCGAACTTACCGGCTCTCTCGGTTGGCGGACTTGTACTCAATGGCTATCATTAGGAGCTTGAGCTTCACAAAACACAGCCTGCAATGAGATGGAGACACCTCCCCGTCAGTGCTTCTGAACGGCCAGAGCCACATAACAAACATGATTACGACCTCTCCACCGCCTGATGCACTCATTATCCCGGGGACCCTCACTCCACAGTCACTGTGCCAAAGGGAGGGGGTGGGAGTGACACCTCCCCATCTTCCCCATTAAACCTGATTTCTTGCAAGTGATAAGGTGCTGAATGTTCAAAGTGCAAATTGCACTCAGGTCTGGATGTCTAGACACAGACCCCAAGCAGGGATTTGTGCCTGGGGATTTATGCTGGGCCAGATTCATTAGTTACTCGGTCGGGTAGTAAAATGTTAACTGCAGAGGGAGGGAGGTATTTGGAGCAGTTGGACCTGTTATTTGGATTCCATCTCGGTCTTTTGTACAAATGGCTCATATTGTTGTTCCGAGCAGACCCCTGTGTGCTCGGAATGATGGTAATAATCCTTAGCCTCCGTGTAACTGCCCAGCACATAACTGTGGGCACCATCACTTCTGGCCCCATCCGAGCTGCCTCACCTCATCTGTCCGGTGTTCTCATCAGCAGCCCAGCCTGCTCTGAGGCTGGCTTGCTCCTGACTCCATGCCTTCATGGAGGCAATTCCTACCCCAAATGCCTTCTCTTCTCCCGACCCTCCCTCCCAAGCCCCCGCCAAATCCAGCCTTCTGTGCAGCTCTGCTACAGCCCGCCCCCCGCTTCTGGTTTTCCATTCCCAGAATTCCTCCAGCGCCCTTGTCTGCCACAACCTCCTTCAGCTCTTCCCCAACTGCAAACTGGCTGTGGTTGCTCCCCATTGCAGTCTGTGCCTGAACGTCATCTCTCCAACCAGTGTGGCTTCTTTAAGAGTTTGGGACTTATATGGAATCCCCATAGGGCTGCACAGGGAACCACAGACAAAGAAGCTCAAAAAATGTGTGATTTCCACTTAGTGGGGTTCTAAGACAATAATAAAAGGTCCAGTGAGGTATTCATGCATACAGATGTTCAAGGTAGTAATATTTATACAGAGAAAAAAAAGGCAACCTTTTAAACGTCCAATAATAAAGCAATGGTTAAGTAAAGGATGGTATAATATAGTTTTAGCATTCAAAATGACTTTTTGAAGAATATTCAAGGTATAAGATTAACAAATAATATGAAGATACAAACATGTAAATAATGATACAATTAGGTGAAAACATATTATTTATATACTCATAGAAATAAAAGCACACGCACAAAAGAATTACATTACATATGATAAGTTTCTATAATGAGCATTTGTTTTAAGGACTTTTTGGATGATGAAACACTGGCTGACTGACAGGTTGAGAAGTGACCTGGTCATTGAGCTGTAGCTCCGTAAGGGGGAGGATACACTGGGTCACAAGGCGAGGTCATTCCTGGTGCTCTCATTTAATCCCCACAATATCCCTGAGAGGGAGAGTGGGCCCCAGGTATTCTGACTTCTACAGCTATCTCTATATTACAGGTGACGAACCTGAGGCTCAGAAAGCCCATGTAACTTGCCCAAGGTCTCCAGCTAGTATCTGGCAGGACATACATCTTTAACTCCAGGGAAGCCTATTTTGTACTGGGAGAGATAGATAATAAGCAAATATAGAAGTGAATAAATAATAAATTTCCAGATGAGGAAAAGCACTATGCAGAAAACAAAACAACCTAAGAGGACACAGAGTAACTGGGAAGACCCATAAATATGGAAAACACACTGATGTTTGCCAGAGGGGAGAGGGTAGGGTGATGCGCAACATTGGTGAAGGGCAGTGGGAGGTCCAGGCTTCTAGCTATGGACTGAATGAGGCTGGGGATGAACACAGCATAGGGAGTATACTCAATGGTATTGTCACAGCAATGTGTGATGACAGATGGAAGCTCCACCTGTGGTGAACATAGTATAACATACAGAATCGTCCAATCATTATGTTGTGCACCTAAAACTAATGTAGCATTGTGTGTCAACTATTCCAATAAAAACAAACAAACAAACAAACAAAAAACCAACCAAACAAAACAGAGTAACTGGGAAGGGGTGTTATCTGCAATGGTCCAGGAGGACCATTCTGAGAAAGTAAAGCTAGAGCACAGGAGGTGAGGAGAAGAGGCAGGCAATGAAAGAATCTGGCGAAAAATCTTTCCAGGGAGTGGAAGCAACAAATGCAGGGGTCCCGAGGCAGGGAGGAACTCGGGATGTCTGAAGATCAGCAACAAGGGCAACTAGACTGCAGCCGAGTGAGCAAAGTCACAAGTGACAGTGATTAGGGCAGGGAGCTAGGCAAGAGCAAGTTTGTGAAGACTGCTGGCTACAGCAACAAGTCTGCCAGTCTGCGATTTATTCTAAGTGAAATGGGAGGCCTTTAGCTGGTTGCAAATAGAAAAGCGATGGGGTTGGTGAAGGCCTCATACTCTCCAGTGGCAATAAGACCAATTGCTCACGCCTGCATGTGAGGTCATGGTCTCCTGTATTGCTTTCAACAGACAGTGAGATTTCAAAGGACCACTTCATCTAGGTGTATTTGGGCTCTCCTGGTGATTTGCAGGTTTGCCGATTCCTGCCAGCCGATTCTAATGACCTGGGCTTTGTGCTGATTATGCAGTTTGCTGAAACACCAACCCAAGTATCCAACTACAGCTGGAAAAATGCTCTTCTTAATTTATGTTCCATAAAGTACTGTTAACACGCACCCTTTATGGGACTGTTACTCCTGGAGCTTAAATTGTTTAAAATATCAGATGGCTTATGCAATATTTGTTGAACCAAATTACCAGATTAGGTAACCACTTTCTAATGTAAATAGCAACTAAATGCCAAAATCTCAAGGAGAAGGCCGATCTTAATTTAGCACAGATCATGAAGAGGCCAATATGCTGATATCCCATGAGTGATTGGCCACTCTGATTTGGGACTCTGTGGTTCATGGGATCATGGATCTTAATTGCTTTTAATGACCTGATCCTGTTGGTAGAAGCAAAGAAGTAGTCCATAGTAATGGTGAATTATGTCTTCCTAGGTACTACGATGCCATTTACCAACTTGATTCAAAAAGATAGCAGCTTTCTAATGCAGGAAAGTCAATAAAATCTATGCAGCCTCGTGCACATTCCCTAGCTAGCACGGTGGACCAGGAGATCTGAGTCCTCTTTCATAACTTCCAAATCCATATCTAAGATGGTTCTATACTGCTTCATAAAAGCCTCTTTTTAAGACACTCTTTGACCCAAAGCTAGCCTTTACTCACTGGCCAAAGTGGAGAGGAGAAGGACAGAGTGATGTCCACGAAGCAATTACATGCAAACAGCGCCCCAACCATGGATTATCAGATGCAGGCCCTTCAAGACTTGCTGGGGCTGTACTTCTCATAGAGATGACAAACTCAGGTCCAAAGAGGGGCAACTTGCTCCAGATCAAATGGCCTTTGGGAAGAAAGGCCAAAAGCAAAAATCAAATCTCAGTGTGGTGTGTTGCACAAATACTTCTTAGAAGAACAAAGGCAATGAGAGGGTGTGTCCAGAAGCCCAGCATGGAGCCTTGGTCAGTACAGCATTTTTAAAAACCCAGAATTTGATACTAACAGGTGATTTCATATAAAAACTAGCCTCTCAGCCTTCCTTGATAAATCATAAGTGGCCACACTGGAGCCATATTCTGTTTGGCTTAAAGGGACTGGAGCTTTAAAGCACTGACCCTTCTGGATGGGACACGTGCTCTCCAATATGCTACAGTCCCCAGCACTCCCCAGGTAGCCTATCTCTTCAGCCTTCTCTCTTTGTGGCTTGCCCCAAAAAGGCATCTAAGTTTTTAACCTCTGCCATAACAAGTACCTTCTGCAGGTCCACAAAACACAGATCTTGCACTATGTCCCCTCCTTCTAAAAATCACAGTTTTCGGGGCGCAGTTGTTAAGTGGCTGCCTTCGGCTCAGGTCATCATCCCGGGGTCCTGGGATCGAGCCCCGCATCGGGCTCCCTGCTCCGCGGGAAGCCTGCTTCTCCCTCTCCTGCTCCCCCTGCTTGTGTTCCCTCTCTCGCTGTCTCTCTGTCAAATAAATAAATAAAATTTTTAAAAACATAAATTTTTAAAAATTAAAAATTAAATCCCAGTTTTCTGTCAGATCCTGCCACAGAGAGTTAGCCAATGTCCAGGGAGCTTGGCTTAAGGCTGCAGCAGAGGTAGCAGGAGATAAGAACAGACCAAGGCCAGTGAATAGGGGCGCCGGTGTGTGGTGTGATAATCACTTGTTTACTCGTCTCTCTGCCCTCTAGTTGAGCTTCTTCGTGGCAAGACGCATGCTTTGTCTCCCTGGCATTCTGCAAAGTGCAAAGGGTAAGCATTCAATACATGCTGATTAAATAAACGTATGAATGAATGGAGGGCAGAATCTCATGACTTGCTGGAAGCACACATTTAGAGATAAAGTAGTCAACTAGGAAAGTCTAAGCAGAGAAGGCTTGGGAGTTGAGCATCAAATCATGAAACAAGATGCCTCTTAACTTGTTCAGGAGAAGCAGAGAAATTGGAAAAGAAGGATGTCGAAAGAAATAATAGCGGTGATACACTTTGGGAATCTAATGTTTGCCTCGAATCAATATGCCAAAATGCAAATACAATTCTAAGATCCAGACAGCAGTTTGTCTTTCTTTGGGACTCTCCACAGCTCCTGTTATAAGGGGTTCACTCCCCAGAACCTGTCTTCAAACTACTCAGAATTGATGTCCTGAGATGAAATATTTATTTGTATCATCAACACCATTGTTTTTGGTAAAGCAAAATGGGCTTTGCTCATACAGCTCTTAGAGTCCTTCTTAGGGCTTTACTCAGTGTCTCCACATATATAGGACTGGGGCGGGATAAGAAAGGAGCTTAGGGTGAGGGAGGGTGTAAGAAAGAACCAAGAAAGCCTCTGTAGCGTGATAAACAGCAGCAATTTAATTCTTGGTTTCTAAAATAAAATGTCCCAATATGTCCAAAGCAGGAAGTCGTTGCT